GCCTCCTGGATTCAAACAATTTTCCTGCCTCAGCCTCCCGAGTAGCTGGGACTACAGGCATGCACCACCACACCCAGCTAATTTTTGTACTTTGTAGAGACAGGGTCTCACCATGTTGGACAGGCTGATCTTGAACTCCTGACAAGTGATCCACCCACCTTGTCCTCCCAAAGTGCTGGGTTAACAGGCATGAGCAACTGCACTTGGCCAAAAAATATTTTAAATAAAATGCTTAGACATAAAATAAATAAATAACTAGCAAATCTCTTAGAAAAAATACATGACATGGGTCTTGGCACCATTTCCTAAGATATGACATTAAATGCACATGCAGCAAAGAACAGAAACTTTTAATTACACTATACTTCAAAATTTCTGCACATTAAAAAAAAAAAAATTCTGCTCAGTGAGTTGGCGAATGTTAGCCACTAAAAAAAGTTCTATGCACTCCAGCCTGATAACAAGAGCGAAACTCCATCTCAAAAAAATAAAATAAAATTATAGAGTGAAAATGCCTTTTAGGAAATGGGTAAATATTTGCAGATCCCATGTGATACTAGTTAATATTGAGAATATATAAACAACTCTTAAAACTGAACAATAAATTTGAATAACTTGATTTAGAAATAAAATATTTGATCTAAATTTTCATCAAAAAAGATACCCAAATGGCTGGGCATGGTTGCTCATGCCTGTAATCCCAGCACTTTTGAAGGCCAAGGCCAGTGGATTACCTGAGGTCAAAAGTTCAAGACCAGCCTGGGCAACATGGTGAACACTGTCTCTGCTAAAAATGCAAAAACAATTAGCCAGGTGTGGTGGCATGCATCTGTAACCCCAGCTACACGGGAGGCTGAGGCAGGAGAGTCACTTGAACCTGGGAGGCAAAGGTTGCAGTGAGCCGAGATAGAGCCACTGCACTCCAGCCTGAGCAACACACCCAAATGGGAGACAAAAGATATGAAAATGAAAGCAAAATTAATGATTTGTAGAGAAACGCAAAAAAATTAAAATGAGGCCAGGTGCAGTGGCCCACATCTGCAATCCCGGCACTTTGGGAGGCCAAGGCAGGTGGATTACCTGAGGTCAGGAGTTCAAGACCAGCCTGGACAACATTGTGAAACCTCATTTCTACTGAAAATACAAAAATTAGCCAGGAGTGATGGCGGGTCCCTATAATCTCAGCTACTCCAGAGGCTGAGGCAGGAGAATCGCTCGAGTCCAGGAGACAGAGGCTGCAGTGAGCCGAGATTGCACCACTGCACTCCATTCTGGGCGACAACAGCAAGACTTGTCTCAGTAAATGAATAACAGTGAAACTCTGCCTAAATAAATAAATAAATAAAAGCCTCACACTTTCTATTGATGATGCAATGAAAATAAAACCTATGTTGATTGTTGGTAGGAAACAAGGATGCAGCCATTATTTTAAAATGTTATAAACGCTTCTTAAATAATTAAAAATGGAATTATCAAATACAGCAATCCCACTTCTGAATCTATATACAAAATATGCAACACATGACCCAGAAGACATATTTGAACATCCATGTTTGTGATACCAATATTCACAAAAGGCAGAAACAACCCAGGTGTCCCTTGATTTATAAACACATAAAAAATGTAATATATACATACAATGAATTATCACAGAAATCAAAGATTATCAAATATAATTATTATCAAAGAAATTTTGTCACATTTTAAGATAAACTTTGAAAATATTGTCACCTGAAATAAGTCAGTAACAAAATGATGAATGCTATATGATTCCACTTATGAGATATCTTAACTAGTCAAACTCATAAAACAGAAAGTGAAAGGGTGTTTATCATGGGCTGGGGAGAGGGTAAAACGGGTTCTTGTTATTTAAATGTATACTGGGTTTTAGTTTCTACAAGATGTAAAAGTTCTACAAGTTTTTCATACAACAATGTGAATATTATTTAGCATGTCTGATATGTACAGTTTCTTTTTGAGACAGGGTCTCACTCTGTCAACCAAGTTGAAGTTACAGTGGCACAATTATGGCTAACTTCAGCCTCAAACTCCTAGACTCAAACAATCCTCCCTTCAATCTCCCAAACAGCTAGGACCACATGTGCACACCACTATGCCTGGACTTTTTTTTTTTGAGACAAAGTCTTGCTTTGGCGCCAGGCACCAGGCTGGAGGGCAGTGGCATGATCTTGGCTCACTGCAACCTCCACCTCCCGGGTTCAAGCAATTCTGCCTCAGCCTCCCAAGTAGCTGGGACTACAGGTGCACGCCACCACGCCCAGCTAATTTTTGTATTTTTTTAGTAGACACGGGGTTTCACCATGTTGGCCAGGACGGTCTCAATCTCTTGACCTCGTGATCTGCCTGCCTCCGCCTCCCAAAGTGCTAGGATTACAGGTGTGAGCCACCGCGTCCGGCCTTGCCTGGACATTTTAAAATTTTTTTGTAGAGAGAGAATCACTGCGTGTTGCCCAGGCTGGTCTGAAAGTTTTGAGCTCAAATGATCCTCCTGTCTTGGCCTCCCAAAATCCTGGGATTATAGACATGAGCCACCACCATGTCTGGCCCTGAAATGTGCACCTAAGTAGATTTAAGATGCTAAATTTTATGTTATGCATTTTTACTGCTTTGTGTGTGTGTATGTGTGTGTGTGTGTGTGTGAGAGAGAGAGAGAGAGAGAGAGAGAGAGAGATGCAGTCTCGCTTTGTCATCCAGGCTGGACCACAGTGGTGTGATCTCGGCTCACTGCAACCTCTGACTATGAAGTTTAAATGATTCTCCTACCTCAGTCTCCTGTGTAGCTTGGATTACAGGCATATGTCACCATGCCTGGATAATTTTTGTATTTTTAGTAGAGACAGGGTTTCACAATGTTGGTCAGACTGGTCTGGAACTCCTGACCTCAAGTGATCTGCCTGCCCTGGCCTCCCAAAGTGCTAGGATTATAGGCATGAGCCACCGTGCTGGCCTGTTATGTGTTTTTACAATTAATTTTTCAAAAAAAAAAAAAGAATTACAAATCTTCTAAAAAATTACCTTCAAATCACAAAAATGTTTCTCTCAAAGAAAATATATATTCATTATTAGACACGTGGTGAACATAAGAAGTGATGAAAATATTCCCATGACTACTCACATGCAGACAAGATAGCCACTAAAAATCAGCCAAGAAAGAATATATACAAGATAAACCATAACCAACACTGGGGTCATATTTATAGATAACCACATAAGTCATCTGATTGTAACAGACATATAGCTGATTTATCTCTCAATTAAACCTCACATTGACTTAAAGTGTACACGCAGAATTGCAAATTGGCTAAAATTATTATATATAAGGAAAACTAAAAAACACAATAAGCTGATGTTAAGAAACCTACATTAAAAAATCACTATTATGAAACTACAACAAAAAGAGACATGTTTACTTATAAAATCTGGTATGCAACACTGATTTACCAAGAAAAGAGAACTGTCTGCATAGCGGCTCATGCCTGTAATCCCAGCACTTTGAGAGGTCAAGGTGGGTGGATCACATGAGGTTGGGAGTTTGAGACCAGCCTAATCAACATGGAGAAACCCTGTCTTTACTAAAAATACAAAATTAGCCAGGTGTGGTGGTACGTGTCTCTAATCCCAGCTACTTGGGAAGCTGAGGCAAAAGAATCACTTGAACCAGAAGGCAAAGGTTGCAGCGAGCCAAGATGGTGCCACTGCACTCCAGCCTTGTCAGCAAGAGCAAAACTCCGTCTCAAAAAATTGTCTAATTGTCTACATAACTACAATATTTGTACACTGATGTAAAGCAGGTACTTCAAATAATTGGCATGCACTGCGTGGCAGTAAAATTTCACAAAACATGCAGTACAATTATAAACAGAATATTCTAATGAGAAACTTTTAATAAATAAGCATGTAAAAGAAATGTGATAATTTTTATGGTTTAAATATATGCTGTTCTTACACAAAATGAAAGTGCTGTAATCCAATATTACAGGCAAAGAATAGCAGTATATTGCTAAATTCTTGTATTTTTCAGAATAGAGTTAGAGCCTCTGACATGTAAAACAAATATTTAGAAATATGTTATCATTTAGATATATGCTGAAGAAACTGGGTTAAAATTCTATAATTCCTTTTTTACCTGCAACAAACTTAAATTTATAAGTAACCATTTTAGTAATATGAAGTGCCTACCAATTATCTAATTTACTTCACGCATAACATGTAAAATTCTAGCATATTGTCTTAAATGACTGAATCTAATTATTACAGACAAGTTTGAAATGGAAAATAGAGAGTAAAAATGTATAGAAAGAGTAACATCAGTGACATTAAAAAATAAAAGGTGCGGCCGGGCGCGGTGGCTCAAGCCTGTAATCCCAGCACTTTGGGAGGCCGAGGCGGGTGGATCATGAGGTCAAGAGATCGAGACCATCCTGGTCAACACGGTGAAACCCCGTCTCTACTAAAAATACAAAAAATCAGTTGGGCATGGTGGCGCGTGCCTGTAATCCCAGGTACTCAGGAGGTTGAGGCAGGAGAATTGCCTGAACCCAGGAGGCGGAGGTTGCGGTGAGCCGAGATAGCGCCATTGCACTCCAGCCTGGGTAACAAGAGTGAAACTCTGTCTCAAAAAAAATAAAAATAAAAATAAAAGGTGCTCGTTTTCTACGTGCGGTGGCTCATGATTTTAATTCCAGGACGTTGGGAGCCAAAGCAGTTGGATCATGAGGTCCAGAGATCAAGACCATCCTGGCCAACATGGTGAAACCCCGTCTCTACTAAAAATACAAAAATTAGCTGGGCATGGGGACATGCACCCGTAGTCCCAGGTACTTGGGAGGCTGAGGCAGGAGAATGGCTTGAACCTGGGAGGCAGAGGTTGCAGTGAGCAGAGATCGTGACACTGCACTCCAGTCTGGTGACTGAGAGAGACCCTGTCTAAAAAAAAAGAAAAAAAGAGAAAGAAATAAAACGTGCTCTATTTGATTATTCTCCCCACAGCAAAAAAAATTTTCAGTCATCCCTGACAAAAATGCCTTTAAGAGAGAGTCAGGCATCATGGCTCACATGTGTAATGACAGCTACATGGTACAGTGAGGTTGGAGAATTTCTGCAGCCCAGGATTTCAAGAGCAGCCCAGGTGATAAGCAAGACCCCATCTCCAACGTGCATGCCTTTAAGAGTGCTTTGAGACCCAGGGAGGGAGCTGTGAAACTCTGCTGAAGCCCAACATTGAGGAGTGGTCCTTTTCAGAGGGCAGGTCCTCATTCAGGAGGGAAACTACAGAATCCCTGGTCTTACAGATTAAGAAATGGCCCAACCAACCTGGTCCCACTGAGAATTCTGAAGTTAACTCTGTAACCATCCCAACCTTCTCCCAGTTAGTCTAGGAGAGGTCCTGCCCTTCGGGAGACTTGGAGGAAGATATCTATTTGCAGCCATGCAGGCAGGCCTACAGACCTTGTTTTCACTGTGGTCCCTAAAGCAGTTCAATGACTCAGTCCAGCTCTCTGAGCCACAGTTCATGACCAGTTTTGCCTAAATATAAACCCGCACAATGACCTGAGGAAACCCTCTCTGGTACTCATTGAAAGCCATACTCATTTACATCCTGATACAAGGGCCATTATATATGGACCCGACTACAGAAACGTGCCCTAGTGTCTGCTCAGTAGATAAAAGTCCTGAAGGATATTCAAACTGTCCAAAAAATAAAATGGGAATTACAATCATCCAAGCCCTCTGTAACAAGCCACCTAAAGGTGGACCCTAGTGCAGAACCAGCAGCCTTGTGACCAAGCCACAATCCCTCCACTACAAACCCAGAGGGCATCCCATTACCCTAGGGACACAACAGGAAAAGATCTTTACCTCCTGAAACCAGTTTATAAAAGCTTACAGAGTTGCAGTTCCTTCAAATTCACAGATACCAATATAAAACTATATTGTGCCCACTGTCAATGCTTCTATTTTAATGTAGCACTGGAGGTGTGTGGCGCAAGAAGTAGAAAAAAACATTTTAAAAAAGCCGTTGTAATTGAAGACAACTAAGTAAAAAGTTGCTGTTTGTGGATCGTATGATCTTATAAGTACATTAAAATTTGTCTAAACTAATACATGCAGTCAGTAACTTAACAAAATATAAAATTAACATACAAGTTATGGTTCCATACACTTAAACTACCTCATACAATAAAGAAAAAATATCATGTTTATAATAGCATTAAAATAGGCCAAGCGCAGTGGCTCACGCCTGTAATCCCAGCACTTTGGGAGGCTGAGGCAAGGGGCTTATTTGAGGTCAGGAGTTTGAGACTAGCTTGGCCAACATAGTGAAACCCCGTCTCTACCAAAAATAAAAATAGTAGCCAGGCGTGATGGCAGGCCCCTGTAGTCTCAGCTGCTCGGGAGGCTGAAGAAGGGGAATTGCTTAAACCCAGGAGGCAGAGGTTGCAGTGAAATGAGATCGCGCCAGTGCACTCCAGCCTGAGAGGCAGAGTGAGCCTCTGCTGGAAGAAAGGTCGTGGCACGGCCTGCTTATTTGGTGCAGAAAGAAAGAGCTTATGGAACACCACGCTTGGTGCTCAAGGGAGGAACGCCTCTTGGAATCACAGAATGCGAACAGACTTGCTGGCTTCTATCGATGACCTCTCTAGGATGTTTACTAAAGAAATACAGAATAGAATTTATTATACGCACCTCAAAGGAAAGCCAAAGCACCCTAGCTATCTCTGCCCACACCCCTACCGTATTTTTGCTTTCCGTTGCACACCATAAATGATGTGGGTCTCCAGAGCTTGGGGCCTTTGCAGCCTCCATACTTGGGTTGGCCCCCTGGTCATGTACTCTTAAATTGTCTTTTCACATTTCTCTGTCTCCACCATTCTTTGCAACCCCCACAGTCTGTGTCAGGGCTGGTCCCCAACAGACTGTCACAAAATAATAATAACAGCATTAAAATAATAATTTTCTGAGAACAAATTTAACCAAGAAGTTAAAAAATCTTACCAGTGAAATATGTAAGATTTCAATGCAATAAATTAAAGAAGACAAAAATGAATTTGAAAATATTTCATGTCAGCTGGGTGCAGTGGCTTATGCCTGTAATCCCAGCACATTGGAAAGCTGAGGCGGGCTGATCACGAGGTCAGGAGATCAAGACCAGCCTGGACAACATGGCAAAACTATGTCTCTACTAAAAATACAAAAACTAGCTAGATGTGGTGGCACATGCCTGTAATCCCAGCTACTCGGGAGGCTGAGACAGGAGAATTGCTTGAACTCGGGAAGCGGAGGTTGCAATGAGCCGAGTCATGCCATTGCACTCCAGCCTGGGTGACAGAGCAAGACTGTCTCCAAAAAAACAAAAACAAAAAAAGTCTAGGAATTGAAAAAATAAGTACTGTTAAAGTGCCATATTATCTAAAGTAATCTATACATTCAATGAACTCCCTATGAAAATTCCAGTAGCATTGTTTTCACAGTAATAGAAGACATAATTCTAAAATTTACAAGAAACTATGGATACACTTCAAATAGCTAAAGCATTTTTGAGAAAAAAGAACAAAGCAGAGGGTCATCATAATTTACAATGTAAAACTATATTTTTAAGACTATACTAATACAGAATGGAATATGCAGAAAAATTAACAAACCACTAATGGAACAGAAACCACTACTCACACATTTTATACATGATGCAAAAAGAGAACTAAAAACTAGTTAAAATAGAGTTTTTCAAAATTATGCAGATATTTGTGTGTCCCCAAAAACAATGAAAAAGCAAATAGTACGGTCTCTTTTTTTTAAGATGGAGTCTCGCCTGTCACCCAGGCTGAAGTACAGTGGCACAATCTCAGTTCACAGCAACCTCCGCCTCCTTGGTTCAAGTGATTCTCCTGCCTTAGCCTGCTGAGTAGCTGAGATTACAGGCACATGCCACCACACCTGGCTAGTTTTTGTATTTTTAGTAGAGATGGGGTTTCACCATGTTGTCCAGGCTGGTCTTGAACTCCTGACCTCGTGATCCGCCTGCCTAAGCCTCCCGAAGTGCTGACATTACAGGTGTGAGCCACTGCACCTGGCCAGATTACCACCTTTAGCTGACCATTTGCTCTAACCTATATAACCAATCTCCTCTCCTACCCCCTTTGCCTAACTCCTTTCTTGAACAGAATACCACTGACCCCATAAAAATACAAACCATCAGAAAATACTATGAACATCTCTTTGCACATAAACGGAAAAATTTAGAAGAAATGGATAAATTACTAGACACATATACCATCCCAAGATTGAACCAGGAAAAATTTGAATCCCTGAATAGACCAATAACACGTTCTGAAATTAAGGCAGTAATAAATAGCCTACAAAATAAAAATGCCCAGGGGCAGATGGATTTACAGCTGAATTCTACCAGAATCACAAACAGGAGTTGGTACCATTTCTTCTGAAACTATTCCAACTGATAGAAAAAGAGGGACTCCACCCTAACTCATTTTATAAGACCAGCATCATTCTGATACCAAGGTCTGACAGAGATATAACAACAAAACTTCAAGCCAATATCCCTGATAAACACTGATACAAAAATTCTCAATAAAATACCGGCAAACCAAATCCAGCACCACATCAAAAAGCTTACCCACTGCGATCAAGTCAGCTTCATCCCTGGGATGCAAGGCTAGTTCAACATACACAAATCAATAAATGCAATTCTTCACATAAACTAAAAAAAAAAACCCACAGTTATATCCATAGATGCAGAAAAGGTCTTTGACCAAATTGAACATATCTTCATGTTAAAAATACTCAATAAACTAAGTATTTATGAAACATACCTCAAAACATTAAGAGTCATTTATGACAAACTCACAGCCAATATCACACTGAAAGGGCAAAAGCTGGAAGCATTGGCACAAGACAAGAATGCCCTCTCTCAGAACTCTTAGTCAACATAGTATTGGAGGTTCTGGCCAGGGAAATCAGGCAAGAGAAATAAATACGGGTATTTAAATGGGAAATCAAACTGTCTCTGTTTGCAGATGACATGATCTCATATGTAGAAAGACCCATTGTCTTAGCCCAAAAGCTTTTTCAGCTGATAAGTAGCTTCAGCAAAGTCTCAGGATACAAAATCAATGTGCAAAAATTACAAACATTTCAATACATTAACAATAAACAAGCAGAGAGCCATATCATGAATGAACTTCCACCCACAATTGCTACAAAGGGAATAAAATACCTAGGAATACAGCTAGCAAGGGAAATAAAGGACCTCTTCAAGGAGAACACAAACCACTGCTCAAGGAAATCAGGACACAAACAAATGGAAAAATATTCCATGCTCATGATTAGAAATAATCAATATTGTAAAAATGGCCATACTGCCAAAAGTTATTCAATGCTTATCCCACTAAACTGCTACTGACATCTTTCATAGAATTAGAAAAGACTATTTTAAAATTCATGTGAAACCCGAGACCCCATATAGCCAAGGCAATCCTAAGCAAAAAGAACAAAGCTGGAGGCATCATGCTGACTTCAAACTACACTACAAGACTCTAGTAACTAAAACAGCCTGGTACTGGTAAAAACATACACATAGAGCAATGAAAAAGAATGCAGGACTCAGAAACAAGACTGCCTATCTACAACCATCTGATCTTTGAAAAACCCGACAAAAACAAGCAATGAGGAACAAATTCCCTATTTAATGAATTGTGCTGGGAGAACTGGCTAGCCATAGGCAGAAAACTGAAAACAGAACCCTTCCTTGCACTTGTATAAAAATTAACTCAAGATGGATTAAAGACTTAAATGTGAAACCCAAAACTATAAAAACCCTAGAAGAAAATCTAGGCAATGCTATTCAGGACATAGGCATGAACAAAGATTTTATCATGAAAACATCAAAAGCAACTGCAACAAAAGGAAAACTTGACAAATACAATCTAATTACACTAAAAACCTTCTGCATGACAACAAAAAAACTATCATTAGAGGGAAAAGACAATCTACAGATTGGGAGAACATTGTTGCAACCTATTCATCTGACAAAGGTTAATATCCAGAGTCTAAAAGGAACTTAAATTTACAACAATAAAACAACCCCATTAAAAAGTGGCAAAGAAAATGAACAGACACTTTTCAATAGAAGACATTTATGTGGCCAAAAAACAAACAAAGCTCAACATCAGTGATCATTAGAGAAATGCAAGTCAAAACCAGAACTGGATACTGTAAGGCTGGTTGCCTTGCCAGGAGCTCGGACACACCCACCCGCGTCTGGGCCCGTCACATCCCTCCACCTAGCACTTAGTCTAGCTCTGTGCTAAGTGGCTCTCCCAACTACAGAAACACACCCACCCCTGCACTCAGCACCAAACTCTGCACCCGGGACCTAGCTCTGCCACTTTCAAAACTCGCCTCACCACCCGCCGACCAATGGCAACCCGCCCCGTCTCAGTACCGCTCCCCATAACCAATCAAGGCATCCCTCTCCCGCTCACTAAAGCTATAAAAACCCTACACCTCAGGAAGTCAGCGCAACTTCTCTGGCCCCCCTTTCCCGGACCATAGAACCTTGCCCTGGAGTTGAATAAATTGGAATTTAATTGTTCTTATACTGGCCTCAGTTTCCTCATTTTAAACTCGGCAA